GCGTCGCGCTCGCCCCCACGACGCAGCGCCTGCGGTCGTCCACTAGCAAAGCGGCACCGACGTCAGCCAGCGGCTCCGGCCGCAACTCCGCCAGTGGCTCGGTGCTCTCCTCCGCGCTGCCAGTTGAGTCCTCCTCTGAGTTCTCCATCGCCGCGGCGGTTGCGCACGCGGACGACCTCGAGGATGAATGGAAGCTTGACGGGGCGAGACAACAACAACAACAACAAACATGGAATGGGCAGGGGGATAAGGAGGGAACGCGGGGCTGGGGAGCAGAGTGCTCTGCTTTTGCCTCTTTGCGGAGGATCCTCTCGCTTTGCTTGCCTCTTCTTCCCGCACGAACTTGGCTCGCGACGTGGATGGAGTCGCTGGCGAGATGCGAGGGGACTACGCTTGGACGAAACGCGCAGGGGCAAACTCTTACGCCAACATGCTTTTCCTTCTTCTCCGCCCCGCGCCGGGGGATTGTATTTGGCCCCTCTGTTTTGCTTTCCCGCCCGTGGTTTTTTGGGCTTCTGTTGCTCTGCCTTTCCAGCTCACTTTGTTGCTCCCCGTGGGAGCGCCTCCCGCTCTGCGCTCGATGGACGCACCGGCAAGCGGCGGCTCCGCTCTGCCGGTCGCGGTGTTGCCAGCGGCGTTGGGCGCCACGGCCCGTCGCAACGGTGGCGGTGCCGCAACGCCCCTGGTGCGGGGGTGCCTGCGCCGCGCCCAGTGCGGGGGCTTTCTCGCCTGTGGCGAACTTCAATCCGTACGGGCGTCGCGTGGTCGGGAAGATTGAGCAGAGATATAAAAGGGCATAACGGAGGTGCGCGGCCGAGCAGCAACGCGGCACCACGCGGGAGCGATGCGACGGCGACGGTGACGCGCGATCCGTGCGAGCGGCCAACAACTACAACGGAGACACGCAAGGGTGCGGAGGAAGGTGCTGATGCCTTGCCACGAAACCGCCGCGAGCACAGCGTGGACAGGGGTTTCGACGCGCCTTGCGCGTTACAGACCTCGAAGCCCGTGCCCTGTGCATCGTATACTTTGGGCACGGAGGCGCCTGCATTAGCTCCCTTCAGTTTATGGACGCGCCACACGGATGTTGTCCTGTTCTTCAGTCCTGCGTTGGTGCCGACTGCCAGCGTTTGCACCGAGGGATGAACCGTGTAGTTGTTGAATGTTTTTATTTCGTTTTTTTGGGGTCCTGTTCTTGTCTGTTGTTGGAGGAGACTTGGCAGCAGCGCGGCAGCAGGGGGCTCCTGTGCGGGGGTAAACGTGAAGGGAGCACCTGAATTGTCCCCGTCTCTTTGCTTTTTCGTGTGTGTTTTGCTGCGGGGGTGTGAGCGCAATGACGAGGGGGCTCGTCCACTGTGTCTGTCTGCTGCGGCCCCGCATTCAGGAAAAGGGTGACGCACGCATTTGCGTGTGTGTGTGTGAGGGAAGGACCATTTCCGTAACGGGGGTAACTTCGCTTCGGCTTCAATCGGCCGGGTTCGGTCGGTTATTGCTGCTTGCCGGGCCCTGCTTGCGCGTCGGGGTCGAGAGCGGTGCGCAGAGGCGGCGGTGCGCTGGCCGTCGCAGTGGCTTGCGGCCTCGCTCTCGCACTCCCCCTCCCGCGGCCTCTCCGGCTGCCTTGCCCACCTTCTTTCCCGCCTCTTCTTCCCGCCCCCCGCAGACAAGGCATTTGCGACTGCCGCCATCCACGACAAACCAACACAGACACTTCCCTCACGCCATGCGCCGTCCGCTCCGCGCCGCACTGCCGCTGCTGTTGCTCCTCCTCGCGACGACGTGTTGCGTCGGTGGGTGCCTCGCCGCTGCACACCGCCGTGCGCTCGACGAGGCGGCGATGAAGAGCGGCCCGCTGCCGACCGCGATGGTGCGTGAGGTGCCGCGCAAGGGGGAGGGCGCGGCGCAGGCGTACACCGTCGCCGCAGCGGGCGAGGGCAAGGAGTGGGAGCCCATCCGCATCGTGGTGTCGATGGAGGATCTGAAGGACGCAAGTAAGTACTGCACCAAAGAAGGAGAAAAGAAACCCGACTTCAGGGGAGAAGAGCCAGAGTGCAGGAAGGATGAAGTTGTGACCGCGGACTGGAACAAAACCTTGGTGAACGAGGTCATCCCCGTGGCTGTCAAGCTGCACGCGGAGCGTCTGCTCGTTCGACGCCTGAAGACCCCGCTGAAGGTGCCCAAGTTCACATCGGAGCATGGGTTTTGCCAGTACTTCAAGGTCCCCGAGGGGCACCACGATGCGGGAGTTGAGAATGCGGACATGGTGCTCTACGTGGCTGCCGGGACGGGCTACGGGGCGTGGGCTCTCCCGTG